CCCCCCCCCCCTCCTCTCTCTCCGACTAGTCCATCTCATCCTTCTCTCCTCTCTTTCTCTCCCTCGTCCCCTTTCACTTCGGACAATCAACGACTTCGACGACAACCAGCAGAACAGCCATACATGATACAAGTGAATACCACCCGCCCGCTGTTGGATCGTCCCATACCATCCCATACAGAGCCTCTTGCCGCCAGTTGCCCTTGCATCATCAACTCTTAAGCGCGGAATCCACCGTAATTAATCTCTCTCCACATATTCCAGCCAACGCACACCCACTTCAGCACAGTACCTTACCGCATCGTACCGCAGTGCAGGACATCCCTCAATAACCACTTCAGGATCTTCGAAGCACCTCCGGGGTGGTTATAACTCGACAATCACTCTGGACACTCCAGCCCCTTCGACAATCGTACTGTACTCCCAAACACGGTTTCGTGGGCTTGTCGTTCGCGCCATCCACCATTCACGTCGTCGAAATGTCTTCGACGACGCGTAATTTGCAGCACCAGCCGCTGCAAATATATCAAGATCCGGTTACGACCTTCGACCATGCTCCAATGCCCTCGCCGAAGAACAAGTCGAATCTTAAGAAGCCATCGCCCCTTCGATCATTGAAGAACGCGGCAACGAGGAGGAATATCGTGTTCAATCCTCCTCAAGATGGACCACATAAGCCGTCGCCTTTCAAGGCAGCCCAGCAATCCTCGAGCTCTCCTTCCAGAGCACCATTTGGTAATAAGCTCAACATGATACCCATGCCACCGCCCGGAGGATCATCATATAACACCGATTCGATGGAGAAGAAGCAGCCCTTAATGTCGAAATTCAAAACTGGCTCAAATGCTGGTCCACAAAAGGCACTCTTCACAACCTTTTCAAGTTCGGCTGTTTCCGAGAAAGAAAATTATCCACAACCTTATTACCCCGATCCTACGGCATCATACAACGATGGGATATCCGGAGGGAACTTCTCTCTTGAGGGTCTTTACAGTCAAAAACCACCAGCAAAGCGATTGATGGATTCTGCACCTATAAATGAATCTAGACCTGCTAAAAAGACGAAGATTGAAGAAGGGCAACAAGAAGAAGTCTCCGAGGCCATCTACCTACCTAGCCCGGACTCCTTCCCACCCCTTCACGACGATGGATCTAAACCATCGCATAGCTACGCACAACTCATTGGAATGTCCATACTCAGAGCCCCAGCTCGCCGGTTGACCCTTGCACAAATCTACAAGTGGATCTCCGATTCCTATTCTTTCTACAGTGCATCTGATGCCGGATGGCAAAATAGCATTCGACACAATCTAAGTCTCAACAAGGCATTCATAAAGCAGGAGAGGCCAAAGGACGACCCAGGAAAGGGAAACTATTGGGCCATTCAGCCCGGGATGGAGCACCAATTTATCAAGGACAAGTCGAGAAAGGCGGCTGGGATCAATGAGAATGGTCCAGTCATGACCACCCACTCCACGCCAGCAAACCAGCCCGAACTTCCACAGGTTCCTCTCCCTCAATCGGGGTATTTCAAGCCATTAGTCCCTGCACCGAGACCCCAAGAACTTCCTGCAAAGCCGTCATACAACCCCCCGGAACCACAATTACCTGCTATCTCTGAAGAATTGTCCTCCGATGCCACCATTCCAGCGTCTGATGCCTTCCTCGAGCCTGAACTGGAGGAGCCGTGCCAAGAAGCTGCCCCTTCATCACCCCTTATTCGGTCTTCGCCTCCACCAGCAATGATGCATTCTTCGCCGCCAATTCCACGCCATGTTCCCAGGAGACACGATACCCCACCTCCTGTTCCTCGTTTTCCTTCGTCGTCAAGATCTCGATCCCACAAGCGCAAGTTCGCATCCATGGATGATAGCGGCTATTTCTCGTCTCTAGATTCCTCAGCCATGCGGCCTCACCGACTTCTCACTTCAGAAGCTGATCGGCCAAGAATGAAACGCGGCCGTGCCGAAGAGGAGATTGCACGGCTCCGTGGCTCTTCATATGATAGTCCTACCAAGTCACGCGCTTCCTTTGCTCCACCCTCATCATCACCTGTACGGCAAAACACCAAAAAGAAATTTACACAAATGCTGCCCCCTCTTACCCCAATGGTCAAGCTGAGGGCTCCTATTCGAGCTCCTCCATCTGTATCACCTAATACCAACCTTCGAATGCACCGGGACAAAGTCCGGGAGATGGTCGGCTCGCCACTTCGTGGAGTCACGTCCCTCGACGAAAACCTTCCCTGGAGTCCAGCATTCAACATAGATGACAGCTATCTATTTCAAGAATTCACAAACAGTGCTGATTTCGACATCTTCACCGACAATGCTGCTGGCTTTCTCTCCGTTCCTGGCATGGGGTCTCCAGAAAAAAGATCTGCAAAGCGACCTCGACTGGATCGCTCGAGGTCCGCCAATATTCTTGCCGATATCTCCAACACCAACTATAACAAGAATCTCACCTCCACACCCTTGTTGAAGCTGACCCCCAGCATACCCAACTCAACATTGAAGTCACCCAAGAAAGGGTTTGGATTGGTGGGTTCGCCTACTAGGCTACTCAACATGGACGAATCTCCCTTCAAATTGCCAGCCCAGTCACCCTCTTTCAATCTCCAGGCTTTCGATCTCCCTCATGACGACTTCCTTGGTGCAGAATTCTTATCCGAAGAGTTTGATGATTTCTCAGGTGTAGACATCATGCAAGGTTTCCAGAAGATTGGTGCAAGTGGCTCCAATCCATCGCGCAATACACCAAAAACAAACACCAGCTCTCGACCTCCGTTTGGTAGGAGCTTCACTTCTCGTTTTTAAAAATATTATTTAGTCTAGGTCGGATACATGCAGTGGTGTCAAGGATTAACGGATCATTTACGACTTTCTTTTTCTGTTTTCTAAGAATAGGGCGGACGGATATGCATAGGTGGCTTCGGTGACGGCTTTACGACGTTATGAATTTGAGCGAATCAATCGGGCTGCAATGGTTGGAGTGCGCTTATGGATAGTATTGGAGGGGGAGCGTCGCAAGAATGCAGGATAGCCTCGCGGCTTTGTTGATGATAATGATGTTTAGGTATATAGGCAGCTTTCTGCATGTTTGATGGTTTCAGGGTTGACGGTTCACGGTTTCATGTGTTTGGGTCGTCACAAGCGCAAATGGGTTTTTTGAGGGAATGCTGGACGGAGCGTGTATTCTTCATCCGCTACTCGGTATCATAAGAGAGAACGAAGACTTGGAAACAACTTTTGCATTCATATCCCAGTGACTACGTGGGGACCTGTAACTGGCAATAACCTCTTTATACTCAAAGTCATGAATCATCTTGATATATCTCCATGTCCATGCAGCCACCTTATTTGAAGCGAAAGAAAAGGGGGTAGCAGGCACGTGAGATGTGGCGGGAGCTTGGCCGCCGCGCTAAGCCGCTCTTTTGAATCTTTGGGACAACTCACATCTCCAAACAATTTACATCCTCGACCGTCAAAATGCCCAAAGCGGAGGCTGGATCTACCAAGTTCCTGAACAATAAACTCAAGTCCAAGGGGCTCCAGAGGCTACGATGGTATTGTCAGGTAAGACGCCCCGCTCCCCGTGATTCTCTACCCCTCTTACTCACAACTCTCACAGGTATGCGAGCGCCAATGTCGCGACGAGAATGGCTTCAAGATGCACACCCAGTCTGAATCGCATGTTAGGCAAATGCTCCTTGTTGGCGAAGACCCCAAGAAATACATCAACAATTACAGCAACCAGTTCCAGCGCGACTTCCTCCAACTCCTACGAACATCGCATGGCGAGAAGAAGGTCCAGCTCAACCACTTCTACCAGGAATATATTGGCAATAAGGAACATGTACATATGAATTCTACGAAATGGCCTTCGCTTACCGAATATGCGAAACACCTGGGCCGAGAAGGCTTATGCCGGGTTGAAGAGAACGATAAGGGCATCCATGTTGCTTGGATTGATAACTCGCCCGAGGCGCTGCGACGGCAAGATGCTATACGAAAGAAGGAGAGGCAGGATAAGGGGGACGAGGAGCGAGAGCAGATGCTGATTAGAGAGCAAGTAAAAAGGGCACAGTTCGATGCAGAAGAGCGTGGGGAGGTTGAGCCAGATGAGACTGAGCGGGAACTAAAGCGAGATGAGGGCGGCAAAATCAAGCTGAGCTTTGGGGCAAAACCCGCAGGGCCAAAGGCAGAAGAGCCAACCCCTGTTACTACTCCAGATCAAGTTCTGGCTTTTGATATAAAAAATGTCGAGGACGAAAAAGAAACAAGCCCTGCGGATGGTCCATCGACAGAGAAGCCTCTACTAGATTCAGCGCCAGTTACAGGCAAGGTATCTATGAAAATGGGGTTCTCAAGTAAGCCTAAGAACGTCTTCGCCGCTGCGAAGAAGAATGCTTTGGGTGGTAATAAGAAAGCTGCTGTTGTTGAACAACCAAAGAAGATGAGCGAGGCCGAGCGGATCATGAAGGAAGAAATGGAAAGGAAGACCAAAAGAGGTCCATCTGGTTTTGGAGGGCCTGCGCAAAAGAAACAGAGATTTTAATAGACATTATCGGGCGTTATATGGAAGCATTGCATAGGCGCGCTGGGGGGTATGGCGTTATACTACTGATGATACCATTTGCAATTTTCTCTAGATAGGGAAATTCGTCAACTTCCAATTTATTACTCCTAGAACTCCTGTGCCCTTCCCCTGTGATGAATGTCTCCTTTAATACCATAGAAACTCCCTCTGCCGAACGTCCAAAACCACCGCAACCCAAGCAAGCACTCCACCCAATACGAGCACGCAACCCATCAATCAGCCTCCGTAGCACTTCCATCCCTCCTATAACGCTATTAGCAGCCGTCTCTTATGAATAGCGCGGTGTGGTGAAATCAATCGTACGGAATGTATCTAATCCTCGCCTCATCCTCCATCACAGCCACCACCTCATCCGGCAGCTGCCCCGAGACCTTGGTCGCATAGACACCCTTCACATACCCATCCAGCCTCTGCCATTTCGCCACCCAGCTCTTGCTCGGATCCGCGAGCGCGATCAAGCCCTCGAAGACCTGGGATGTGCAGTCGTAGAGCGCGTCTTGGTTTCCTTGGAGATGGAGGAAGTCTTCGCAGTTCGGGCAGCCTTCTTTGAGGAATCTCTGTAGCAGGTGAGGTTAGTGAGGGAAGGGGATGGAGGTGGATGGAGGGAGGGGAGGGAGGAGGAGGAGGAGGAGGAGGGAGGGGCATACGCTTTGGGTCATCACGATGGAGCAGACCATGCATGCTCGTAGGTTGCGGTGCTGGCCTGGGGGGACGAAGTTTTCAGTCATGATGGCGTTTAACGATTGGGTGTTTTCTAGAAGAACAAACTTTGAAGAAGTCGAAAGGATAAGCGCTGCTTGACTTGCTTCAATTGCTGTCTTGAAGCTCTTGTCTCGGCTTGTAAAGGTCCAGAAAAGACAAGGCTGAGAAGCGAGCTCTCCACGTGATTTCGAATTTGCGCCTTGTTTCTTGCGCTTTAATTATTCCTCTCCTCCGTATACCATTCTAAAATTACGAAGTGAAGGGCTCTAGTTAGGAGGTTGCCTTAGTTGCAAGGGTATGTGCCTTTGACTCAAGTGTTAAAGAGGAACCTTTCATCTATCTATACGCTTGCCAGCTCGTGGTAAACATACAACGTGGCACTCATATGTGACAGCTTTTATCATACTACTCAGCTTAGGATCGTTATGATGAAGAAGCAATACTTAACCTCCAAAGGTCGAAATATGTTTAGATCCTCAGATCCTCAGATCCAGCCGATCCATCGTCCAAAAGTAGCCTTTTTATAACTTCTCATCCGTCTAATCTGATCTAAGGCCATTTCCAAACCTAGGTAGTCAGCTTCTCGCGGCGTTGTAACTACCCTAGTCTCTATCGAAAAACCCATTGCCATATGTAACCACTGACGAGAAGCTATAGCATCTGAGTAATAGCCTTCTTCGCCGTGTCAAACACCGGAGTTGGCGTATATGGGGCCGAGTCTAGGAAGGCAGCAGATAAGAAGCACCGGATGTTTTGAGATACAATTGGAACGGACGTTCAGAAGGTGCGTGCGAATACAACTGTCGACATTTCGTCGGAGAATCAAGATTTCCTGGAAATACTGCGCTATGTTTCCTTGGATTTGTTGTACCCAAGCAGCGACAAGTGGAATTCCGGGGATAGTTGAAGCTGAACAAGCTGCGTTAAAACCTTGCTTTGATAAACAATTTGGGGGTTGGGGGCATAAATAGCAGACAAGAGACTAGCAGTCCTAGATCACAATAAGCTGTTGCTTTGCTCTGGGGATGACTTCTAGCGTCTGCGAACTTCAATCAGCATAGCTAGTTTCGGCTTTGATTTGGAGATAATATACAAGTATTTTACAAACCAACTGCTTGTCTTACAACGTACATTGTAGCATCCGCACTCTCTTTTGCTTTTACACCTCCTTGCATCCAAACATGATCAAGATACCTGCCTCCGTCAGCCGCTAGGACTTGTTCATACTTAGTCCGTATGGGACTTAGGCTTTCCGATATGGACTCCGCTACTGCGCTCTTGAACTGCCCAAGGCCGAAATTTGCGTATTTTAATGCGAGTTCTTGGGCGCTCTTCCCCTCGCCGTTGAAGTGAGAAAGCAGTTGCAGTAGATTGGAGACCCCCGGTCGGTTCTCCGGGTCATACGAGACAGAATTGGTGGAGTCTGTCAATGCTGCCATCATTTTCTTGTGGATCACATCTGGGGGGTCTGTGATTAGAATCCTCGAGCGGGGATCTGAATGTGATTTGGACATCTTGAGGTGAGGATCTTGGAGAGACATTACTCTTTTTGCGGGAGCTAAAGCATGTGAGAGAGAGCCTTACAGAAGGGTATGAGGACGTACACATAATAGTTTGAGGAGCCACCAGGTCAGGACCATATGCATGGTTGAAATTTGTGACACACTCGCGAGCAAATTCGAGATGCTGACTCTGATCTTCTCCCACTGGAACATGCGTTGCTCTGGATTGTGGTGAGCAACAGTTCGGTATGCAAACACATGGGACATCTATACCTATGTACCAAAATGTCGGCAGCTTGCAGCACGGGGTAAGAAAACAACCCCAGCTTAAGCTTTGACTTGCTCCCCTCGTCTAATGGAGACGCATCATCTTTCAACTGAAGCTTGCTCTAATAACCCATAAGCTGAGATCGCCTCATAGCTCCAGAAGACAAAGGCAAACCTTCCACTGTGTCATCCTAGAAAGATAGCCCATACTGGCCGTACAGCTCAGTATCCACATCAGCTCCGAATGAGCAGGCACCTGCCACCTCATCAGTCACGTCCTCACTCCTCTCATATCAACAGTGACTCACAGAAGATTGGTAAAATAATATTGATCTATCAGGATCCAAGCCAATTGCCACCAGCGTAGCCAGCGTCTCCCTCTTCCATCGCCTCAAACGCTCCGGGTCTTGCGGTACAGTGATAGCATGCAGATCCACGATAGAGTACAGAAGTTTGGTAGAGGGGTGGGCTGTATTTTGCAGGCGCACCCATTGTTGCAGAGCCCCTAAGTAATTTCCCAGGTGCGGAACTCCTGTGGGTTGGATGCCGGAGAAGATCACCTGATCAGGGAGTGCATGGCTGGTTGAGTTGGGTCGACAGCGAATTGAGGGATTGAGGGTTTTGAAGCATGACTTTACACTGTGTTGACTGATGCTACGTTTGGTACTCAGCCTGCTCAAGAGCATCGCTGTTGTGAAAAGAGTGTGAGTGGGCATGTGAGGTGTGTTTTTGAGTTGTGGATTTTGCGAGATACATTTTGATAGAAGATAATTATACCTTGTAGACACGTGATGGCCATTGGAAACTCAGGTCAGGATTTAGCTCATTGGAAGTGGCATGAGCCATGGCTAGAGTTCAGGATTGGATGTTCTAATATGATCATGTACATTTTTTATACTACAAGTCTTATGATTACAAAAACATCCAGGATGTGCATGCTAAAATTCCAGACTCTAATGAGAGGTCTAGCCATCCTGATCTTCTTTCCTGCCTAACACATATTGGTTTCATTTTCGTTCATATAGGAGGCTTGACCATAGGAGCATTTCCATGCGTAGCAGCCCGGGAATCCTCTTTGTTGATGAGCTCCATGATCTTGTCGGCTGTTGGGCCACTCCTCTTGTCCTTTTTGACTCCGATCTGACTCCAAGTCTTGTCTAGAGTGTCCTTCATTTGTTCCATCTCTAAATCCATATTCTTTCCAACTCCTATTACAGAATTAGCTTCTATTTTAATCAACCGCGGATGTCCTAGAATCTTACCTAGCTTCGAGAACTCGAAAACGTTGGCCTTCATACCGATCCCGTAGTACGCATGCTTCCTCAGGAACGCCAACCAAATCCCCACTGTTTCTGGATTCCCGTCTTTGATCTGAATTAGTCTCCTCACAGTCCTCCTCTCAAAATTCTCCTGTGATTTCTTGTGAATGAAGTTCCCTTTCGGCACAGTCCATCTCTCGAGGATTCGGGGTAGCGGTACCGGGCCAGATGCTGGGAGTCCTAGGTAGTATGCTGCTCGAAGAGCAAAGTCTGCAAAGAATTCGAGATTCCGTACACTATATGATCGCATTTGTAAATCGCAGGAAGGCACACCATATTCGGCTTGTCGTTTCAAGGGCCGGAGGTATACTGCCTGGACACTTCGGGGTAACCGGAAATCTAGATCTTTTTGTTCGGTGTATTGTCCATACTGAGGTCGTTCTTCTGCAGGTGGTCTATTCCAAGTCAGAATAGTCTTGGAAATCTTGGGTGGGGACGTACGCTGCAACTGGTGTCTCAATGTCAAGAGATGGGCTGCTATGAGTGTGTGAGTCCGAGTTTATTGAATGGTGAAGATTCCATACCTTGCTTGTACCTGTCTGGCAGTTGAGCTGGTCTTGAGTTAGAGAGGTACTTGAGATCTGGAGGATGGAGGGGAAACATACGATGCCTCTGCACTTTCCACATTTGCTGTGCTCAAGGGAGGTTCTCTGAGGGTGTGTCAGCCTGTAGGTTTCATAATTATCTCTGGATCTTGCGTACGCTGTCTTTGTAGCATATCTGCTAGAAAAAGCTGGCCTCGACGGATTGGGAGGTTGTGCCTTGAGAAGGAGTGAAGCTGGGGCGAGAGGGTTTGGCTGCAATTGTTTAGCATCCAAGCAGATTAGTTTATAGGATTGGCATTTCCAACTCACTACCGATCTCATGAGCGTCCGCCATGGTAATCGTATTGCTGAAGTCATAATCGTTGATTTGGAAGCTGTAGTCGCGCTTTCACAGAGTTGAGAACATCCAAAATGTTTCTTGCGCACGGACCAACCATTTTCACAACCACCAGTATAAAGCTCAATAGATAGCGTGCGCTATAGCCATACCTAGGTAGGAATATAATACAAACTCAGGCAATTTAAACGTCCATCTACAATATCCTGGTCTTATACTCACTGGATTCTCTCATATCTACTGTAATTGCATTTTTGCGACACATAATAAGTTTTCAGGAGTGAATCTTCTGTACACTGACTACCTGTTCTGTAAACAGAGACTCTTATTTGACACTCGAAATCCGATGTTCATGATAAAGCAATTTCATTTTCTAGTGCTGTCTATGTCCTAGGCATGAAACCTTCACGAGTCAAAGTTTTAAACCTTGCACTCGGCAATGTCACAAGCCTCCACCAACGACTTTTTGTGCCCTGATGGAGTCAAACGTCCTTTAATATCTTTCCGAAGGAGGGTATATGGATTCGACGAGGACATCACTGCTTACATTGGAGATCTAATATAGAGCTCTCGAAGACGGCGACATGTACAGACTAAAAGGGTTAGTTACAAGACTTCGAGTACCGGCATTGTCAAGGTAAATACCTAGTACAAGAATATGACGAAGTCTTCTCGCAAATCGATGTCAAGTGATGCTGCCCGTTGGGTGTGACCAAGCTTAAGAATCGCCGAAATGGTCCCCATGATGGCGGTGTGCTCTTAGGATATTTGCGATGGACCATTCCTTTATTTGGACCAAAAACAGGCTGTGCCAATTATTGGGATCCTCCTCATGTATGGCACTATGATGAGAATCATTGTAGCATCATTGATCAAAACTTCCGGGCAGGGAATCAAATTTTCTTTCCACGTCTCACGTCCTTCATCCTCTTGTAATGAGCCTTCTTGCCGCTTGTCTTGGCTTCTTGGATCTCCTTGTACTTGGACTTGAAACGTTGCGTAGCTTTCTCGCCTTCCAGAACCTCTTCCACCAACGTTCGTTTCCTATCCTTGTTCGTCAATCTGGCGCTGAAGAATTCCGTAGGTCCCTCAATAATTGTGCCAACTTGGGAGAACTCGGGTACTTGGGGCTTTGAGCCTTCCTTTTTGTAATGCCTCTTCGGGTCGAGGACTGCTCTCATTCGAAGGAGTTGGAGATCCCGCTTGAGCTCGGGCGTCAAATTTGTCTTGGGGAGATTATACCAGTCAGAGCCGGCAGTAGCTTTCTTTGCCTGGGAAGTCAATTAGCTGTTGTCTAAAAAGCTAGTCCATGAACATTGTGTCATTGATTCTTCTCAGCGTAACTATGAAATTAGAACATCATGTGTTGCAGAGTGGTACCCAAGACGGGACCAGATTCTACGTCAAGATTTTTAGGATAAATTTTCCTCATAGAAGATAGGTTCAAGAAATATGGTTAAAAGAGCGTACCTCTGCAGCTTTTACTTTGACCGCAATGGGATCCTCCACTCGTCTTATTCCATTGGCAAGTTTTCTATCCGCAGGTTTTACCAAATGGGAAGGGTCGACTTGGGCGCCTTGGCTAGTTTTTTGGATGTAAGGAGTGACTGACTTGCCAGTGTCAATGTTTGGGATGCTACGAAAAAGAGCAAGTTAGCAAGAGAACTTGTCAGGGCCCTGGACAGCGGGAATATTCAAGGCGAGAGTACCTTTGGAGAATATTCTCCTGGTTGTTTCTTCGGCCTTTGGCAGCTTTTAATCTCAGCTCGGCATCATTGAGTAGTTGACGAAGCTGCTCTTCTGACAGATCTTCATCGGCCATGTTGTTGGTTTCGTGGCTGGTGAGCTGCTCCAAGCAAAAAGATTGTATGCAATTATTTTTGGAAAATCAAGAAGCGTGAAAGAAAAGCTTAGTAAGCAAGCTAGCTAGTCTAACTTCAGCCTAATACAACCGAGTGGTGTGGCTCCTCGAGTCTTTGACACCGACTTTTGATTATTAGAGTCAAATGTTGGGTAGTCCTGGTGCATACATAATACGACAGCTTCACTTGCTTCGATTGGGTAGTGTTGTGTTGTGTTGGGTTGGGTAGTAATAGAAAGGTCTCTGACATGGTACCGAGTACGCCAACAATAAACAGACCAGCCTTGTTATTATTACTTACCTAGGTACCTGATGGATGAGATGGATGGGATCATTATTGGGGTGGCATGGGATGATGCGTAGGAAGGAGTATTTCGTGGCTGAACCCCCCCTTGACTGTGTGTGCGTTGTCCTATGGTGAGGTGGGTAGGGTATCGATAGTTGATGGTGCTGGAGGTGCATGATCGAGCTGCCGGGCTGCCCAATGTAAATTCGTCGTCGTCTCATTTTTATATAAACACCAAATTGCTCGACCCCTCCTCGTCGTCGATGCTCGAGATCTCCACATCTACATATATCCCGATTGCATTGCATTGGTCAGTACCGTACTTGTCCCCCTCCTCTCTCCGTTCCCTTGGTACCACCACCAGCACCAGCACCAGCACCAGCACCTCCACCACCACCAGTACAGTACGAACACCACCTTTCCCTGTACTCTATCATCCGTCCTCTGCCAGACTTCTCTCCCATCCCATAGGTCACATCCTCCCATTTCTCAAACTCCCGTCGCCCATCTCCCCGCGCGCCCGCCGTCTCCGGTTCGCGCATCCAGCCAGCCAGCCAGCCAAAGCCCAAGCTCAAGCTCCCGACAATCATCAACAAAGCTCCAGTTAACGGCCAATCATATTCGACAATTCAGTGTAGCTATCAACAGTCGCGAGTATCAAAAGATTCAAAATCCGAGCTGAGCTTCACATCGCAGCCCCACGCATCGCATCCTATCGTGCGATATTTGTTCTGTAGCTACCTTTACTCGACCATTCTCACTCGAGCGGAGACTTTCAGCTTGCTTCCCCAGCTAACAGTTCCTGTTCGCCTAGTTCACGGCTTCCTACCGCAAAAACCTCCTTCTGTATTCACATAGTAACCCCCCCGCGCAAGACTCGACGCTTAGATCCCCAATTACCTATCGTCTACTGTCCTCCTCTTTGCTGCATAAATCGTGCAGCTGGTGCGATTACCGGTACGCGCTCAATCTTGATCCAAGAGTCCGTCTCACCGCGCCATGGATCCGCCGAACAACCCCCCAGCTTCGTCGCAGCAGCGCGCACAGCAGAACCCTGTTTATGACACCTCTCATGGCGGTCATTATGGTAAGAATCCGATTCCGTTTTTCTTTCCTGGCTTCAAGCAAACAAGATTCCGCTGCGAATGCGTGTGCAACCATCCGTTTGTCAAACCATTGGCTAATGTTTGCTCGCAACAGGTGCCAGCGCCGCAGTAAGTACTCCGAGCAAACGATACGCGACTTCAGTACTGACATGATAGCAGCTTGCTGCTCAAGGATACGCGCCCGTCGCTGAATTCTATACCGGCGCATGGGCAAATGTTGGTTCCTCTCCCTCAGCGAGTAGTATTAGAGCTAACGAGGGGTATAGGTCAATCAGGGATTGCACGGCACCTACAAAGATATTCTTACAACATACTGGCAACACATAATCAGCCATTTGGAGAGTGAGACACATGACTACAAACTGCACCAGCTCCCGCTGGCACGCATCAAGAAGGTCATGAAGGCGGACCCTGAAGTTAAGATGATATCTGCGGAAGCACCCATCTTATTTGCAAAGGGCTGTGATATTTTTATTACTGAGCTCACTATGCGCGCTTGGATACACGCTGAAGAAAACAAGCGTCGAACACTCCAAAGATCAGATATTGCATCAGCCTTGGCAAAATCAGACATGTTTGATTTCCTTATTGATATTGTGCCCCGTGAGGAGGCTGCTTCTGCGAAGAGAGCCACTGGGCAGCCCACTCCAGCACAAGGAGTCCCTGGCGCTCCTACCGGCACAGCAATTCCTCCCCAGCACGCAAATATCCCGCAACAACCTGGTCCTCAGCATAACATGCCTCCTCCCCCAAATTACGCTTTAGGTGGTCATGGCCTTGCTCCAGACCAAGAGTATCCTCAGCAACCCATGTATCCCACCCCTGGTCAGCCTGGTCCCGGTGCCACATATGGCGGTCCTGGTCAGATGTACAACGAGATGGAAGGCATGTATGCTTATCCTCCAATGCAGGCTCAACAGGTATGCGCGAATGCTTCTTCCTCCAACGCCCACGCACTAACATGCACAGCAAATGTACCATGTCCAGCAACGTCCTCAAGATCCTTCTGTCGGCCATGATGCTGGCCACAACTACTCGCGCAATGATGGTGGTGAGGGAGATGCTGATGCGGAAGGCGAGAGAGATTACGAGGTCGGCTAATAACCAAGTATTCTGCTTGGAGATTATCTGATTGCGATGTGGTTTCGGAGTTACGGTGGCAATTACCCTTCTATCGTAGCAATCCCTACAGGTGCCAAGGATCACAGAACAATGACATATTACATTGTAATCCGACTTTCCATTTACTGCGTGATCAAATAATCTGTGGTGGGAGAATTACCCCATTCCGAATCGGGATGAAAAATTGGCCAGGCGATCAGTCCTAGTAGGGCTTTGCACCGAGTGAGTAAGTCTATATATGAAGTCAGCGAGGGGATCCAGAATCTGCAGGTAAATCTCATACTTCTCAAGAATCCTGGGGCCGTTGACAGCATCCACTCGGCCGAACTTCTTGTTTCTGCTTGAGACGTCATAGAATTCGTCAGGGTTCTCTGTCTGCATAAGATATATAGTCTGTTGTAACTCATCCAAGTTCTCCTTCAAAATGAGCGCATTTTCGAGACTATCGACGAAATCGGCAAGGTAAGCAACGTCTTTCGCGAGGGCTGCGACGCCGTTGGGGTTAATCTTCTTGACTTCGGGAGATAGTGGAAGTGCCTAATCGGCTGTTAGAGACAAATAAGACGGGTGCAGGCAGTCAACATACCAGAATCATATTCGCAGCGTGAGAGAGTGCGTCGAAGTAGATCAATTCTTTGATTTCTCTTGGAAGTCCAAGAAGTGTTGAGTTCATGATGTTTGAGAGGTAGCGGGTCAGAGTCTGCATGTAATTGCTTGGCTCAGTCTCCAGCGTCGGCGCCATCCTGCATGAAAATTAGGGGAGTACTGTTGTAATAGGGACGGTAGAACATACCAATCATACTCAGCCGTCTCTACCAAATCATCAATCTTGGAGTTGACGAGCTCGAATATACGCTTCTCGGCAGTTTTTTTGTTACTTCTAAATTCTTCCGTGGCGTCGAGAACGATTGGTCCTCCTGCCGATGTAGGAGACCGTGCATCAACAAGTAATTTCTCCAATTCTTTGCAGGCTGTCTCAAAGTGTTCGAGGTTGATAAGAATCTGTACGATCTGCCCTAGGTATTGAGAGCTCAACCTCTCCACCAAGGAATTGCAGACTTTTTCAGAAAGAAGCTGGTCCAGAGACTGGCAGACATAATTAGCATTATGACGGTGAATGGTTAAAGTACGCTCTGTACCTTCTTGAGTGTCTCATCGATAACATTGGGGTGTTGGAAATGATCGTCCGAAAAGAAGTAAAATTGATTGAGGAAGTTCCGAATGTCGATGCAACAGAGTGGATACATTTGGGAGAACGGCAAGACGCAAGGAAATCTAATCACAGGTTAACAAGCTCCTACATGGTTCATGATATTCACTAACGTTAGCTCTTCTATCGTTTTATCCGGCGTAAACCAACTGACGTTGACAACCTTGTTGTATTCGTCGGTATTGCTGATGGGCATAGGCATGTAGTCATCGGTAGACACAATCTGGAATGATTAGCCGAGTATTCAAATTCATGATTGACCCTACAAACCTCTTGAAAATCGTCACTGAATCTCCTTTTGAGAAGCTCTGCGTACTTCTCAAACAGCTTGAGTAAGAAGCTGTCAAGAGTGGACACCGAGTAACCCCAGCCCTTAAGTGGCATTAGACTCTGTGAGACGTTTGAGGGTATCGTATGCTTACATCCATGGTTTGTATGAAAAGAGCAATAACCCCCTTGATCTTCAATAATATTTCGGCATTGTCTACCTTATCTAAGGCTTTGGAGATGAGGCCAATTGCTGAGTTGCACATAGAATCCCAAAGCTCATCAACCTGGAACTAGTCAGCACACCCTCAATCACTTAAACAGTTTGCTTTAGGACTTACATCAACAGGAGACCGAAGATTATGAGCTCTCCTCATTGTTGCTTTCTCGATGATCGCAAAACCAGCAATTGCTTCTAACAGACTGCTCAAACTGTTCTCATCATCTTCCAGGAGATTGACAGAGTTTGGAAGCAGCAACTCCTTTTGCTGTCTCCTGGTGGCAGAATATTCTACTTTGAACTTATCGCTCTGTCCAAGTGCTTCGTGTATATGCAGGCATTCGAACAGGGGCGAAAAGTCAACCTGGAGCTCCTCATTGTCTAAAACATCATATTCCTCGCTCTCGTCAAAGACCAATTCGATAGCAGAATTCAATTTAAAGTTCCGTAGAATCGGATTTGCTTCCATGCGCTCTTTCTGCCTGGTTCGACGAAGTTCGGTGTGGTAGAAGGCCACCTCGCCCAGAAATTGAGACGTTTCTCTGATCCGGTAGAGCCACAGATTCAAGTCCGCCATAACAGCCTCAGAGATAGCCTTCTGTGATGCGGGTATCGATTTCTGGATAATATCCGCAAGTTTGTGCTGGGTTGCATATTTGTTCTGGATAGTTGGAATCAAATGCTCATTCTGGAGATCGTCTAATGCTTTTAAAGCACCATAATACTTCTTCTTCCGGATCAGCTCGTGGGCCTGATTGACAGCGTGTAACACTTTCAAAGATTCCTTCAGTGCTTCAGATGCCTCAGCGATGTTCTGGCGAATGGCTCTAGTGTCGACCAACGCCTCCTTTTGCGCGGCCAACTTTTCGGTGCTTGCTTGAATGGACTGATTAAGCTTCAGGATATCGGACGTGAGGTTTACAGTCCCTTCGCGAACTTGCTGCAGTTGGTTCACAGATTTAAGAAATTCGTCATGTTTCGTAAGCCCAACCCGTTCGATGTCTGCCTCACGTTCGTCGGCATACTGGGACAAGCTCTGCATAAGCCCTGCTGTTCGATTCGAATTTGTCGCATCTTTGAGGGCCGGAATCAGTTGGTCTAGGTAGTCAGTATCGGAGGAGGAGAGAATAATCTGTGGATGCCCTGTCAGCTAGCTATAGAATGCTAGGCCATGCCGAGAGGAATCCCTACCTGTTGTACCGCGACTCGATAGTCGTCATATTGAGGCGCCTTTCGAGGCATTTGAGGATGGTAGGAAGTAGATGCTCAGCAAGAGCCATGCAACATCACTGCACCAGTCTCGGGATGTATGGTTGTGGTAGCTGGTATTATTGGTGTTATGGTATTTAACACATAATACAGTAGAGGTGAAGGTAGACTGAGGTACGGTACGGTTACAGTATACGGTACCTTACTGTACAGTACAGTTGCCCAAACCGCAATAATGTTAATCCGAACTGGTCCAAGCCCAGGCCAGGATTGGCGCTGAAACTACAGTAAGCTACAACTCAAAATCAACGACGATTTCACTTCAAGATTCAAAGTTGCGTTGTGCATCCATCACACCTGCAGAAATGCAGGCGACACAGCTGTGCTGACGCCGTCCTTTCTCTGTACTTTCCTATGTACTTTGTCAATGCCTTTCTTCGATCCTTCTCCGTACTTTTTTCCTTGAAGCTCGAACCAGATCTCCCAGTATAAAGAAGGAAATGATGGTCACAGCAAGTCTTTGTCGAGTGTAGTATCGTATCCTGGTCCTTTGTGTCCAAGAAGTTATCATCGGCCTGTCCGTATGGAGTTTGGCTGAGTTTGGTGGCATTCAATCTTGTCCAGTCTTGATCTGTATTGCTTGTGTGAATCTCGTAGTTTGCCTATTCTAGCAGTGTTTCGTCTCATCTTGTCGCGTCAGTTTCTCGGTTTCTAAGGGGTGAAAGGAGGCATAGAGACAACTAGTTGGTTGATTGTTTGTTCAATTTTTTCGCGGGAAGCCTCTACTTATTGCATGAGATGTTTTGCCCAGCAAATATACAATAAAAGTTATTGTCCATACAGCATTCCAGTCATAGTCATCATTTAAATCTTTCAATTCTTTCGCCAGAATTTCGAAGAAACAAATAGTAAGACCTTTCATTGACCAGTTTATGTTTACCCTGTGCAAGTGCAGGTGAGGTATTGCAATTTGGTCGGCCAGTCACGGTCTGGAGAATTTCAGACTTGTTTCACTACGCTACGCAATATATCAAGAAGAATGGCGATCCTGAGAGATACAAAGGTGAAGATGTCAAATTTTTAGCGCTTACATTTTCAAGAACAAATGGCTGCTCAATGATATAACAGTTGTTCTTGTCAACGTTTACCCAAATAGTATTTCAACATATCTATACAGAATTTGCTCTTATAGATGTCCCTCCGGTCAAGTCTACCTGCCTACCAGCCGTGATATTGCTCGACATCCCCTTATAGATTCTTGACTCATTCTAGCCTGAGCAGCTTGTGCCATACCTTATCGAATATCTGAGCAGATCTCTGGGCCATATACTACCATCGGGATTGTTCTGCCTCTGCTTCATTGGAATGAAGTCAGGCTCTCCTTTATCTCCGACTCATCGACCGTGGCAATTTGATGCAAAATGCATATTCCAACACGCAACCATAGCGCCAATATATTCTCTGTACGTAACTTCCCTCCATCTCCATCGAGAGCAATGTTTCCAGTCTTCTGCCCACGATATTCGGATATAGCTCAACGGAACTTAGAGTTGGTGTCGGTAGGGCTCGGGCCCAGCGTTATAAGAGTGTTGGGCGAGAGGCTTGAGGAGGGAGGGTAAGTTGAGCTTCTGGTCGTTTCCAGGCATGTTCGGCATCTTCTGATGGGTTTTCGTTCTTTGTTGCATCCTCCATCCGCCCCTCCATCCATCAAAGCCACAACCCGGCTCAAGTGTCACTTTGAAGTTTGCACGAAGGTATAGTGTTCATCGATGTCCCCGCCCGCTGGTTCTTCGTTGCTGATCCATCTTAACTGTCCCGTCGCTTTGTCTGTCGGGAACTGTACCAAACTACGCTCTTGTGAGCGTCCAAAAAGGAAGTCGCCGCCCCAAGGGCTCCTTCCGTCACCTAACCTTTCTCGTCTTTGTGGTAAGAGCTCCGCTACATGCTGGTGCTCCTTGACATTCTATGTTCTCTAACCTGTATCCTGCCTTGTGACATTGTGTATGTATCGATGTTATCTTGCTTGTTACACCTTCCTAGCTGTCCTCCGTATTATGAATAGAACGCTGGCTTAGGAGGAGGGTGTGCGAGAGGAGGAGGTTGAGCTTAAGACCAGTGTTCCGTAACATCCTGGGTCCTTCGCCTTGTTGTTTTGCGTGGATCGATGGCTTGGGGAGGTATTGTCGCATTCGTTCTTTTGTGATTACTCCACTGTATCCTCGCCCTATGACTGTTATGTGTAACTCGAGAGCTTGAAAGTGTCATCTTCCATCTCTCTCTGTGTGTGTGTGTGTGTGTCGGCATGGGGTTTCGCTATCAGCCAGTGCTCCTTCGATTCCTCTGCAGCCTTGTGGTTGCTGTGTAGATAACAGTAGTGTGGGAGAAGGTTGTAAGGCATTTATAGGTAAGTCAGAAAGCACCGACAATGTCCCCTGGCTGATAATGTCGTGTGCGATGGTGATGACCTTCTCTGTCAGCTCTCCCTGAACGTCGCAGGATCTGTTCGAGGGCTACTCTGACGAGTGTCGCGGTAAAGTGAGTGAGCCAATCTCGGACACAATCAGGACTTGAATTCGGTGCGCCCTCTGCTCGTTCTAGAAGACTGAAGACTGCATGTGTATATTGGTGGTATGTTCTGGAATAGATTGGTTGCTTTTCTTACTTTCTATCATGGTCAAATCTAGCTATTGCACCCCTGTACTCTCCTGAAGCAGCCGCATCTCCTTTCCCACCTCACCTCACCTCCCGACAGTGCCCTGTGGTATTTCCAGAGGCTGAACAAGCTTGCGGAAGATCAACTGCACATTCTAATACTTTCTATCATAAGGTAACATAAGGTAAGATAGTTACATCTAGCTATTACCCCTTGTGTCCCCTTAACGCAGCCGCTTCTCCTTTCTACCTACCCTACTTACCTACCTACCCACCTCACCTCCCAACAGTGCCCCGTGGTACTTTAAGGGGCCGGAACAAGTTTGCATTGATGAATTACACATTCTAATCCTTTATTGATTGCTATGACTTGGCCACCATCTCTACTAAAGCTGTTGTAGTCAAGTCCTGCCTTCCGCTGGTACTGCATGTATACCTGTCCTGCACCCTATTAACGAACTCTAGGGTAGGTAGGTATAGGTGGCCTCTTCCATGTGATGTAATAGCTCGCTTCGCTCCTCCTCTCACGCACACTGAGGTGCCGCGCCTGCCATTTATATTGAATATCGCCTGGCTTTCCAAGTCCATCCACCTCCACACAACAACATCCTCCTCCTCCTCTTCTCCTCAACCTTCTTGACAACCACGTACGACTGCAACCTTTTTTGAAGCGCTTAGTCTTTTTGAAGCGCTGACTACAGCGATCCTCAATCTGAGCTATACTCCCCTCCTCTCCATTGCAAGCCAGCAACATCGTGCACTCTGCTCTGGTGCAACTTTGACACGGCCAGACACGCTTTCCGTTTTTGTGAGTACTTCATCTTCAGTTTCTGTTCATCCCCAGAGCCTACTCCTCTCAACACTATATCCATGTGGTTCCAAGTCAATCGCTTGTTTGGCTTGACACCCCAACCACGGAGGGAGCGAAGCTACCCCTCCTGTCTTTTCACCTTGGTCACTTGCCCATCAGTGCAGCTATGTAGCCCAAACCTCTATCACCCTCTTCCCTATCGACTACCCTGATCCCAATTACAGGCTATGTTTATTTACCCTAATCTGGCCTTTTGTTTTCTTATGTCTATTCTTCTCCTTCCTGCCTCGCAGTCACGTCCTGGGCGACACGGTGGGGATACGGTCGTTCCAGTCACCGTCACTTCCTTCTCGCTGCTTCCTTCTGGTACACTACCCTTCTTAATATCATCATCCTTACTGTCTGTATGGTTTTCTGCCTATTTGGCGAATTTACTGTTCAGTATTGCTCCTTCCATCCATGTGCATCTGCTAACAAATCATCCCAAATATTAGGTAACATCCGACTCCATTCTCGATCAGACAATTACAAAGCTTCTGCCAATATTTTGGTTGTGGCAAATCAGAAGAAGTCTCCATCATGTCGCGTGCAACCGGTGTGGGCGGATCCCCAATGTCCTCCTCTTTAGGCAGCCACAACTCCAGGGTCTCTACATTCTCCTCACAGGATGTGCGTTCAACCCAACGTGCTCCTACAAAGAACATGGCCACACTTGTGAGAGATGGTAATGATGATCCTTTTGTCATCGATGATTCCAAGCCGAAGGGCGAGGCCAAACTATCGGCAACAGCATCGGACTTCAAGCCGTTTGCACTCCGAGGAGCTCCCAGGGTTTCAAGCCCGTCTACTGACGACAAAGCCCTCAAGTATCTACGAGAGGAGATTGAAAACAACCCAAACACGGCCGTTCAGGGAGCGTTTACCACCGATATCGGAAAGTCTCGTTGCATCAAGGTATCCAGCGTCTATGGCGAAGACACTCGTAGCCTTGTTGATGCTTCATTGGAGGTAAGAAAAACAGTCATTCCATCTATTCCATCTCCTCATCATCTTACTCGCCACTGCTTTCATATCTAGATGCTAACTTCATTACTAGAAAATGATGGCTGGGGGGTTCTGGAATCAAGGTAGCCGGCGCATCAGTGAACTGGGAAACGTTGTGTATCTTCGGCTTTCCAATATCATGGAGGCTGTCAATATTTATGACGCCATCAAGGAAGATAACATCCGGAGCCTTCAGACGGATTATATCCATCCCAGAGTCTGGGCACAGGTACACCTCATCTGTTTCCTTTCCCACGGAAGTCTTTGCTAATGACTCGCTTAGATCGTCTCGCCGTTGTCCCTTGGCAACCACTCGGCCCACGAAGGACAAGTTGTTCTGAGAACCGCCAAGCCCCTCGGTATGAGCAGTAGACAATTTGAAGACCGTCTGCTCAAGTGTCTTTCCACAGAAGGTCCTCTAGTGGCCTGGCAGATGCTCCCCCTTCATGATGCTCCCTTCCCTGCCGTGTATACCATGATTGCTGAGTATTACGACTCTTCTTTAGCCTCATGGGCTGTCACAACTATCAATGGCTCAACAATTGGCAAAAAAGTTAGTATAAAACCCCCTGTGTCAAACCAACAACCCAACTAATCATATATAGGAGGGGTATCCCGAGGTTCAAGTCTCCCTTATCCATCACAGACCTGATCTAAAGCCAAAGCCAATGTCAAATGCCCTTGGCCAATCGGTTTCAGCCTCACCTAGCATGCCAGCCCACCTATTCAATGATGGACACAGTTTTGCTAGAGCTCGTGTTGACATGGCGATTTCTAACCAAACACCAAGTCACCATTACATCGCGCGCGGCGGCACCATGCCTCTTTCAATAAGCCCAAGTACCATCGGGAGTTTGGGTAACGCGTTTGGAAGTATTTCGTTGCGGAACCATACTCGAGATTCTACACCTTTGGGTTCAGGTTCAATGGCTTCTCCCTTTGGCACAATCGGACCTGGACACCTGCCTGCTGCCTCGCAGTTTGGTGGAAACAATGCCCCGCTCCCTGTTATGATGGACATGGGCATGGGTGTTTATTCACCAGTCACGCCCACACAACAAGTTCACAATACTTACCAGCCTTTCAATCACCTGGGAAGATTTGCCCATCCCCAGGCGCCCAATCCCTATGGCCACTATGGGCAGACCTTTGGTAGCCCTGACAGTATGCACCAGATAAACAGTCCACCGAGCATGAAGCGACATGGACGTGCAGACTTTAGCTACTCGAGCCCTTCGCCAGGAGGATTCTCTCGGGACCTGACCCAGTCTACTTCCAACTCCGTTCGCCGTCAGAATGCGCAGAAGATTTCCAATTATCCCCGATGCCAACACAACCCAGCGGCATCACAGCATAATCACGTCGACATTTCAAGTATCGAGCAGGGTAAAGATGTCCGGACTACGGTAAGCTATAGACTTCTATGTTCTAATATTCCACTAATCTGCATAGGTCATGTTGCGCAACATTCCAAATAAGTTCACCCTAAAGATGCTGAAGGAATTCATTGATGAATCCAGCTTTGGAACATACGACTTCGTGTATCTTCGGATCGACTTCCTCAACAAGTGCAAGTACGTTTGAGCCCAAACTAATTGAAACTTCTGTTCTAATTCTCGCAGCGTGGGCTATGCTTTTATCAACTTCGTTGACGTAAGTAGACTGTCAAATTCCTTCTTGAGACCATTGCTGACTCCGTAGCCTTTGGATATCATCAATGTATGTATCACCTAGTAATCTTGCTGGCTACATACTAACTTGGAGATAAGTTTGTCAGGGCTCGGGCAGGTCAAAAGTGGTCAGTCTTGCACAGTGAACTACTTCGAAAAGTGCTGACTTTTTCGGAGGGACCGGTTTCAATCGGAGAAAATTGCTCAGATATCATATGCGAGTACGCTACCACTCTCTTCGGGTCGAAGTGGGCCATACTTACAGTTCAATAGCAATTCAGGGCCGTGACTGCTTGATTCAGAAGTTCCGAAACAGTTCTGTCATGCTGGAGGAGGAGAACTATCGTCCCAAGGTAAGTTCTGAGTCGCAACCTTCTAGTCCAAGCTAGCTAATTGCTCAACAGCTCTATTACACCTTGGCCGATGGTGAGGAGCTGGCTGGCACGGAGGAAGAGTTCCCTCAGTCGGATAACTCATCGAAGCTTCAACGCAGCTGTCAGAATGCCGAACAGATGGGTAAGTATTCCTATCTTAATTTCCTATTGCAATACCCTGATATATCCTAGGCCTTTTTGCTCCAAACGCTGGTCAACAGGTCAGAGCTGATCAGCGACAACGCCGCTCACTATATGATCGTGGTAATAGTCTTGCTGAGAGGGACAAGTTCTACTCTGATGCATACGATAATTCCGAAAGTCGTGGTTTGGGCAGGTCAGGGTATCGCGCATCGTATTGAGCGACAGTAAGCTCTCTTGAATACCGCAAAGCCTCAGAGACCTGACTGACTACGATTAAAAGCGCCTATGATACACGAAGTCGGATTTTTGCAGATGGAAAACTTTTGATGGAGATCTGAGGATCGATTGAGCTCAGCAATTCCCCCGACATACATACACTTAGGGACAATATTTGCATTACATTTGCTTCACTTCATTGGTAAATTGCAGGCATTTGGCTATTGCTCTGATATTTGGAGGGGCATCTCTGGTAAATGGGGAGGCATAAGTGTCTATAGGTCATTCAATCCACTGCCCACTTAAGTCTTGAAAGCTGCATGTGAAACCTACTCCTTCCAAGTTAAGTTGTCTATGATGAATTTGGAAAACGTTCTCAAAGAGTAACTTTTAGTCCTACATAGTTCACCTACTTTTTTTTGAGTATGGTCAAATACATGTAATTACCGCAGTACCCGAGATAAAAAGGGGAGAGAAGCACGTGACACAAAGCGGGAAAATGATAACCCCAGCCCTGGTGGCCCAGGAAGCGGATTACGGGAAGAGCTGATAACGTAGGCTGGAAAGTAAGTAAACTTAGATGATAATATAATGCGCGCCATCGGAGCAGCTGAGCTCCAACCAACTCCAAAGGCAAATTAAGAAATTTGGGAAGTTATTGGCATAGGTATCTAATTCATTGTATTCCTTCCAAACAATGCAAAAATATTATGTACTCCCCACCAAACTCCGCGCTAAATCAAAGGCAAAAAACGCCCTCATCATCATGACCACATATAAGGGACTGTAGAAATAAAATTTCCCATTGTTTGCTGTAATTCTGGTCTCTCAGGTCCTTGCGCATTCAAATGTTCCACGCATGGACCTCAAGCGAGCTAGAAGACATTTCGAAGAAGCTCACTGCCCATTTTTAGGCAACGCAGGTAACGGCTTGCGAGCAATGCTGGGTGACGGCGTCCAGTCCTCTAGAGATGGCAATCTTGTTGGACCGTCGGTTAGGCCAATTGGTTCTTCCCCGGCAACCCAATATTCTGTATACGGTGTTGCGTTTTGAGACCCATCAGCCCCTGAGGCAGATGGGCTGCCAAGTTGATGTATGAAACCATTGACCTCCTTGGGTGTGCCCACCGGCGAATTTTGCACCGATAGAGAAGGAAGCGGGCTACTCCAGCTTCCCTCGTAATTTGAGGGCTTTGGCCTCGGAACCAATTTAGGCGAGTGAGATGGAAGAACGCTACTCGAGGCTTCGAAGGTTGATGATCTTGTTCTTGACTTAGATCGAGAATGGAGAGGCGGCTCTAGATGCTCAGAACTATGATCTAAGAGGTCCGTGGTTGCGTCGTCAGGGCCGGAAGGAGGCGTCAAGCCAAACTCTGACCGCGAATATGTAGATACAGGTGTTGGGGGTGAGTCATCTCTGCTTCTCGATCTCGATATCCCCGATGCACTAAAGCGCTGCCTCCGATGGTCAGGTTCAACCCAAGATCCATTTTGGTGGAATTCAGGGCTCTGTGGTGGGCTTTGGAGAGGGCTCTCTACTGGATAGTCGGAGAGATTGCGAGCTCTGACATGCATGTTGGGGAAATCTGGAACCCCACTAGCAGAGACACGGGAGAAAATTACAAGTCCTAGACAGAGGAGAAGCAAGACTGACTGTACAATAGACATACGTTTTTGAAAAACGACTTCGTCTGCCAGAATATTCAGCCTGCTACTTATTGCTAAGATTTCTCTCCTTGATTCTTCTCTTTGACTTTCAAGAGATATTACTGTCGACTGCCAGATTTCGTCGTATTGCTGCCTGAAACCGCGCAGTTCAGCAAAGACAGTGTTGTTCAACATGTCCAAGAAAGATGTAGATTTTTGGAGCTGCTTTTTCTCCACCTTCGAGAAGGCTTCCCTCAAGATCTTTGACTGTTCTTCGATATACTTCAGTGAGAGTGTTGAGTTGGTTTCTAGGAGTTGAAGTCGCCTCGATGCCGCTTTGAAGAAGCTTTCTTGGATCGTGGGCAATGAAGTTGATGCTGATGAGGTGGTGGTGGTTTTGTCCTTATGTGTGGCAGTTATGTTCTGCACTTTCGTAGGATGAGACGGGATCAAGGAAGCTGCCGTCATAGACTGGCTGGTGTTAGAGGCTGTAGTAACAAACGTCGAGTTCGACACCACCGGTGGGATGGATTGAATCCCTTGAATAGTGGAGTTTTCACTCGCCGCTACCCCCCTAGGCGGTCCCATAGACGGCGAGGGCGGCATGGGCGAAGAAATGTTATGTGGAGGAACCGACCCCGTTACCTCTGATGGCTGGCTTGAGCTGGCCGATATGGCCGCCTGAGTTTTGGTTTCTTCGGTAGTGAATGTTTGTTCAACTGGTGCGTCTGACGGGCGGCAGATATCTCTTTCCCAAAGTGCATTTTCTGGTAAAGTAAGGAAGCTAAGTTGAACCCAGGAGGTCGTCATCTGTTCTTTTGAGGCATTTTCGGCAGCAGTCTTGTTATCTCGGGCCAGATCATGGGCATATTTTACAAGTTTCTCCGCTTGTGCCCGCAGTTCTGCGTTAACCCTTTCTTCCTCTTGAACGACTTCTGCAACGGCATCGGGCACAAAATGCTCCTCGGCGGTATTGTCTTCAATTTCTTCGGTGTCCTCGTCCTCCCCAATAGCCTCGGACTCTTTCCAACTTTCCAGCATACGAGTACCATGGACCCTAACGAGGGAAAGCGGGCAATAATACTCATTCCCGTAATGGCTGAGAAACTCAATCCTCAGGTACCTTGCCCATATTTGAGGGTTCTCAATGAGAAAGGCTTGGATGTCTCTAGAGTTGCGAGCCTCATAGGTCCCGGCATCTTTCCACTTTTCCATTTTAACAGGATAGCGGTCACTAACACTCACCCGGAATGTCCGAACCATGCTGGAAAAGAATTCGTAGTTGGCGAGAACAATGGTGTCAATCCAAATATCTTCCTACGTGGTATTAGTCTTATAACATGCAGTCCTCAAGGCGCCATCTTACCGAGAGCTCTATTATGATGAATTTGTTCTCAGCCGAACACTCTGAGATCATGTATGAATCTTTGTTCTCTATCAGGATCGCTTTCGGGTTTTTGGCCCCGGGATGGGTTTTTAACACGGTGGCCCCGGCATCGAATGAAGCATACGAAAAGCGCTCCTTGCAAGTGATGCCTGCATCCTTACTTCGATAATGGTCATTACGTTTTGCCGTATTTTCGACTTCCTGCGGCTCTTCCCCAGTCTCAGCTCCAGGGTTTTCTGTAGTTTGCGACGTCTTCTGGCTGCTTTCTCCGTCACGAAAGGAATTGAAGTCCAAATCAATCTCCCCTTCATCCCCTACGGAGTCGAGGTTATTCTGTATGCTTTCCAGATCTCTTTTCTTATTCTCCCCAGTTCCTGACTTTTTATTTCCAATGTTTGCATTCGCTTGTCCCGCTTTCTCCAAGGCCTGCTTCTTCCATTCTTCAAATGATAGAAAGGAAGCTTCGTTTAGCTCGCTGGGCTCCAGCTCATCTGCGGATGGGGCAGGAGTTTCCAGGGCCACTGAAGCTATGCTCTCTGTAGCAGAAGGTCTGCCTGATGAAACAAATTCATTGCTTGTGGAATTTCCTACTACTGTTTCCTTTCCCAAACCGGGAGTGACAGAGACGGTGAAGCTTTCGGAAGCTTCGCTAGCTGCAGTGGCATTCCCGGAGCTTTTGGTAGAAGAGGAAGCATTTGCATTACTCCACGACGAGCGGAAGCAGAGCTGGGGTAGGGAGTCTGTTATATAATTGATCGTTCGAAACTCGCAGGTCGCAGTGAGGTTCGCTGGAGGTGGTGTGGCTTGAGGAGCCGGCGTTATCGAACTCGAGGTGATGGGGCGTGGGGCAAAGGAAAACAGCAGCAAGACTGTTGCTGCTGCTGCAGGTAGGCGGTCGCGGTCGTAGACAAGGAGCATTCTGGTCTCAACATTCTGCTGCGGGCGGGCAGGCAGACCGAAGAAGAAGCGATGGTGTTGATACTTTGGAGGAGTCGTAGCTAGAGGTGTCTGTTTACCTAGGTACTCTGCCCTACTCTTCTCTGCTGATAGTATTGTACTTGTCTGTACTGCACTATACCGGCTTCGTGGTCATAAATACTGCACAGTACCCAGGCAAGGCAAGTACTTGTGGACTTTGTTTAGTGAAGAAAGAGGGCGCTTCCAGGTTTTAGTTTCAGCTCGCAGTTTCTTATCAGCTTATCGATAGATACTGCAAATACTGCAAATAACCTTCGCTATAGCTGTATATAACATACCTACATACCTACATACCTGTCTCCATCTAGAGGACTATGGTAAATACCTTGGGGAGATAATCATGCTATGGCATTGTATTCCTCTTTTTTACTTACTATTCTTTGCGGCGTAACCTACCCACCGATCTACGTATTCGTATCCATCCACACTCAAAGAACATCTTTGTCGGGGCTCCTCATTTACTCTGATTCATCCAATCACTTGGCATTCTACCTGCAGAACCTCCCTGACGGCTTCAACATGCCTTCATATCGAGATGGGTTACTTATTACAATACCACAAAATAAACCCATGTTCCCCTCTCATGAAGCATATGCAAAGTTAGAACCCCGACACGCCAGCCAGAATTCCCGGACCACCAAATTGGTCCCTCGAGCACCGCGAAGGCTATACACAATATTAGATAAGTTTCGAAAAGGGTAATAGGTCTGATCATACTTGGCGATCTTCTGTGCAAATATGCTTTTCTCTTTGGCGGTGACCTTCTGGCTAGGAAAGTTACTTCCTAGCAGCGCTGCTTCGATCCATTTCTTTGAATGCGCTTGTCGCAGGACAAGTTTTTTCAATGGCTCGGAAAGTTTGTCGAGCTCACTTCGTGCAGCGTGGCCGCCGATGTTGAAAATGAGTGCCTCTGCAAGCATTGGTCCAAGGTGTTCTATTGCATTGCTCATCGATTCCTGTAATTCATCGGGTTGGCTTTGGAGGCCAATGAAAGTTGCCTGTGAAGGAATTAGCATGCTAAATCAGCATGGATCAAGCTTCTTCAGATCATACCCAGAAATCAGCGGCTGCAATTTTTGGCAGTGGATCATTCCCGGTAAGGGCCTTCAGCGTGTATACGAACAGAAACTCGAGGCTCGACGATGGCTGGTGATTCATCAGGGTCTTGAGATACTTGGGCTGCAGCCGCGCCAGGAAGTCAATTCCATTTTGGGCGATCTCTGGATCATTGCTAGGTTCTGGGGACGTGTCAGTTGAGCTTTTCTCTGGGGCTAGCAACGGACGTGAAAAGCAGCGGCGGGCTTCTGTTTTGTCAAGCCGAGCAGCACATTAATTTCATAGCAATGAGTACTCACCTCCTTGGGCTTGCAGCAACCGAGATGTCCATGTCAGCAATGCGTCGAGGACTTCGTAAATACCAGACCCTACCAAGTCCCTTTTGTAGGACGAAACAAATAAACCTGCCGTGCTAAGGACGAAACCGAGCCGTGGTGTTTGCGGGTTCGCTTTTAGAAGAATTTCGGCAATCATGACTGGAGGTAGGACAAATGGACCTGGTTCAAACTCTCTGAAACCCTGTCTAATAACGGAGCAAGTTGCCTCAACTATCTCGCCTTTATCTCCGAGTACATCGTATATCCCGCCAACCATTGAGAATATGCGTTTCTGGATCCGCGAACCGTCTCCTTCGGTCCAAAACGGTGACACCGTCTCCTTCTCAAGATCAAATGGCTTGTCATTTGGCTCTTGGAGACCCCTGCCGATAGCAGCAAGGCAACGCAACGACAAAGCACCTATATCTAGAGCAGTTTGGCTTGAATTGGGCTGTTGTAGGGGCGGAATGTTCGGGATGTCTAATTGTGGACCTCTCAGCATAATGACCATTTGAAGGCATTCTTCAATGTCTGAACCCACGAAGTTCAGCAGTTGGTCTAGTGGAGCAACCTGCGACTCCTCGTCGGGAATCGCTTGGATTAGGCAAGCTATTGCCCTCAATACGGACTCTTTGGCATAACCAGTAATTGAATTATTGCGGACAAGATTCTGATACTGCTGCAGGAATGCGTCGAGCTCAGGGCGAAGTATCTTTCTACACTCAGAGCAAAGCCCTGTTATAGTGTCTGATGCTCTATGACTCAGGGTAGGCAAGGCCATGGCCGCAAACACAAAATTTAATGCGTTTGGAAGGTAAGAAGAGTTCTTTACAAAGTAATCTGCGTATCCTTCAATCAAGACCAAGAAGGATTCCACGGCTGGGAACGGAACATTCTCGTGGTTTGTGAAAACATAGAAGACTTCGGGTACAAAAATGGTGTCCAGACATGGATCACGCACATCCTCTTTGTCAGAAAGGGAATCAGGAAACACTGATAGACAATATAGAGCGGCCTCAAGCTCTATCCAGTTCAATTTTTCAATAGCACTATGTGCCAAACCAACGAAGTTGTCAAGAAGTGGTATGCCCGAAATAAGAAAATACTGCTGAAGCATATCTGCAAAGTCTCGCCTGGCGTCTTTGAAGCCCACACGATCCGCAGAATCCCATGAAGTGAAAACACTTGTCGGTGGGAACTGAATCTTGCGGAAACATCTTTCGATCATTTGATTGACATGCACTCGCGCCGTCGCAAACCATGTGGGATGCTGTGTGCTTTCAGTATAGACGTCGTCGATCATGTTTTCCACGAAGGTATTCCAAAACTCCAGCGCTGGAACGAAAATCTTGTCCTCATGAACAGCCATGCCCTCTGCCCCAAGAAGACCCCCGAGAGCAGAAAGAAATTGTTGGCTTTGGGAGTTCGGTGCTGTGTTTTTTGCTAGGTCTTGAAGTGTAGCGTCTCCAAATGCAATCATGAAATTTCCAAATTGCAAAGAATCAAAGTCGTAGTCCCCTTCAATCAGTCGCTGATACCGTTCTTGCGCCCATGGACTGTTAAACAATGAATAGAGAAGTTTAAAATCCTCCCTAGAAAGGAACTTGGAGTAATTGGTGAGCATGTCTGAGAAAAGCTCTATAGCGATTTCTGACAAATCATCCTCTGCGAGACACATCATCGCAGGTTTGATGAGTGCCTGGAGAGGCTCGAGAACAATAGCATCGTCTATGAAAGCTCGGTGGGCATACGATACCCATGCCTAAAAATGCAAGACTGTCAACCAGACGACCTAGTGGCCCTCATCTCCTTGATATTGTTCTTGCTGGGGCTAACTTACTTGAAAACATCTCATAGCCTCTTGGCGAACCCTTCTTTCCGTGGGTGCCGGAGTCGTAATTGTCAGATATCTTGACAACAATGGCACGATGTCGTCAACATTGGGGACGACGCTTTTGTGGAACTTGTTCCTGATTAAGCCGTCAATCTACCGCCATTGCGGTCTGAAAGAACGAAGGACTCACTGTTTCATAAGACTCGAGTCTGTTTTCCCCACTTCTTCCACGAGAGAGGAAGCAAACCAGAGAATAGCAATAGCGGTCTCGTTCGAGAGCTCTGCCGTTAGAACTGCGGTATCAGGGCTTTCTAGGAGAGCTTCGTCGTATGGAACAGCTCTTTTCATACAGAGGCAGTACATAAGATGCTTAACACATCTTGTCCAAGACATAGAGAACTGTAGGAAATAAGATACGAGGGTAGAACAAAGTTTCCTCATGACAAGAGGTCCTTCCGCATTCTCAACACATCGAACAAGCCACCCTACGAGGGTTTGAAGCAAAGCTTGTACATCCTCATCTCCCAAAGATTGCCTTTCAGATATCAGCAAGAGGTCAAGTACTACGACGATCTGAGCTTACGCATCGGTGTTAAGTTTAACAGTGAAGGTCAGGGCCGCAAAAAACCGGACATTTTCATTCTCAGACGTGCAGAGACTATTGGCTAACTGCCATCCTTGCGGGGAACGCTGCAGTGCTTGCAAAGTCTCTTGTGACTTAGCAATGGTTTCTGGAGCCCCAGGTTGGTACAACTGGACGATGAGCTGTAAAAAAAAGTCAGTACAAATAGAATTGTCAGTTTTCGTGATGGGTATGTTTAGGTCACCCAGCCCGTGTGTAAAGCTAGAAGCTTACAGATACTACTTCCTCGAGAGAAGCCGGCAACTGGTCTTGCCCAACGCCCGCCATGGTGCGCTGGTCTGGTCTGGTCTGTTCAGCTCTGTCAATCTGATCCGATGCCAGCGATGCGTTGGGGATTGGAGGCTACTGTATTGTCGAATCGCAGGAGATGGAAAGTTTGGGGCAGAGTGGAGAGTGTCATGTCTTGCCGACTTTTAACAATCGCATCATCTAGCATAAGATTTTTGGTCCCGGAATTTAGATTGTCTCGTGCCTCGTACCTTTGACTAAGAAGTAGGGAAGAAGTTTGTTCCTACGGCTTTACTGTACAGTAATAAGGTACAGCATGTTGCTGCCTGAGGGTTTTATTTTTTTGCTGAAAGTAAACAATAACCCGGCACAAACCGAGCACCAGGCCCACGCCAACTCAACACCAAACTTTCTTGCCTTTCACTCGCCTTCACTCGCCTTCCTGGCAAACGTACTTAAAGTCCCTCCTGTAAGCCTATTGGACTCATATGACTCCATCCCACTCCACCCCCGGTTATTAATTGCTATCGTAGTCTATCTAGCGCATATCTACGGTACAGTTTGCAAGTGAGTGGGATCTGCAAGCTTGTGATCAATGAGAACTCCGTTTCTTGCGAGAAACCTCATAAATACACGAGCATTCAGTCGATTCCGGCCTCAGAAGGTGCACATCTCGATTCGATACAGCTCAACTTCTGTGAAAGCGGCAGCCAGCAAAGGTATGATAACTCGACCCCGCCTTCGGAGGGGAGGGGTCAATTTTGGGCATTATATCCACATTTTACTGTGGCGGACACTGACGAGTGTACATAATAGTAGCGATGGAGCAGGTTAATACCACAGAACGCCTTACTCGGCTCAGGGAGCTTATGAAGAAGTACGAGGTCGACATCTATAGTATGTGAGTGCATAGCACCCTTATGCCCAACAGCTGTTGACAATCCTTCTCCCAGTTATCCCTACCGAAGATAGCCATGCCTCCGAATATATCGCACCATGTGACGCCCGGAGAGAATATATCACTGGGTTTTCTGGATCTGCTGGTTGCGCCGTAATCACCCACGAGAAAGCTGCCTTGGCAACCGACGGCCGATATTTCAACCAGGCTTCCAAACAGCTCGACCAGAACTGGCTCCTGCTGAAGCAAGGTCTACAAGATGTCCCAACTTGGCAGGAATGGTCCGCAGAGCAGTCCGAAGGGGGCAAGATCGTGGGCGTTGATCCAACTGTAATATCTGCACCGGATGCTCGAAAGTTGGCCGAGAAGATCAAGAAGCGCGGTGGTCAGGACCTGGTTGCAGTAGACGATAATCTTGTGGACATCATATGGGGCAACAACCGGCCGGCGAATCCCACTGAGCCCGTAAAGATCTTGCCTCGGAATTTTGCTGGGATTGAGGTGAAAGCAAAGCTGGAGGATCTTCGAAAGGAACTGGAGAAGAAAAAGAGCTCTGGTTTTATTGTTTCGATGCTCGATGAAGGTAAGTTTGTCGTCTCATCTCTTGTCAATATCTTGTTCTAATCTCCCTTCAGTTGCATGGTTATTTAATCTACGAGGCAATGATATCCCTTACAATCCAGTATTCTTTTCCTACGCTGCAATCACTCTTACGACGGCTACGCTCTACGTCAATTCTTCAAAGCTCAGCAGCGAGTGTAAAATGTACCTTACAGAAAATGGAATTTCTATGCGGCCATACCATAAGGTTTTCGAAGACATGGATGTCTTCTGTAAGTCTTTAGAGACACTCAGTGAGGATGGCATACCAGAAGCGAAAATCAAAAAGTTTTTGGTATCTACCAAGACTTCCTGGGCGCTGAAAAGAGCTCTTGGTGGTGAAGCAAAGGTCGAAGAGGTCCGAAGCCCTATTGGTGATGCCAAGGCAGTTAAAAACTTTACAGAACTTGAGGGCATGAGAGCCTGCCACGTTCGAGACGGAGCTGCTTTGATCGAGTACTTTGCCTGGCTAGAGCATCAACTTACAGTCGAGAAGGTGGAGCTTGATGAAGTCGCTGCTGCCGATAAGCTGGAGGAACTGCGATCGAAACAAAAGAATTTCGTTGGGCTCTCGTTTGATACCATCTCGTCGACTGGGGCAAATGCTGCCGTCATCCATTACTCGCCGGAACGGGGTAACTGCTCCACCATTGATCCAAAAGCGGTGTACCTGTGTGACTCTGGTGCCCAATACTTGGATGGTACAACGGATACGACCCGCACCTTACATTTTGACCAACCAACAGAAATGGAAAGGAAAGCGTATACATTGGTGCTGAAGGGAAACATTGCTCTTGATGTTGCCGTGTTCCCTAAAGGAACGAGTGGCTTTGCACTTGATACATTAGCAAGACAGTTCCTATGGGTAAGAAAAGCTTCAAATTACCTTGGGGACTTTGAGAGACTGATTTTGCAATAGGAAGAAGGACTGGATTACCGACATGGTACAGGTCATGGTGTAGGATCATATTTGAATGTCCACGAAGGACCGATTGGCATTGGAACGAGAATTCAGTATTCCGAGGTTCCTCTTGCCCCTGGTAATGTTATATCAAACGAGCCAGGCTACTACGAGGATGGCTCGTTTGGCGTCCGCATCGAAAACATTATCATGGTGAAAGAAGTTGAGACCAAGCACAAATTTGGAGACAAGCCATACCTGGGGTTTGAGCACGTTACGATGGTGCCTTACTGCCGAAAGCTCATCGATGAAAGCCTTCTGACTCGAAGAGAGAAACACTGGCTAAATGAATACCATGCGGAAATCCATGCCAAGACAAAGGACTATTTCGAGCCAGGTTCAATTGCTATGAAGTACTTGGAACGCGAGATCGAACCAATTTGAGTGGCCTCCCGAAGACACGGCTTTGGGAAGTTGGATGGAGAGGGGGGCGCGACCCCTGTGGAGATTATTTTTAATGAGGCATACGTCTGAAAGCCGCGACATGAGAAGAGGTGTATTGGGAAGCTTGTCTGGGAAGTTCACCCAACAAGGCACCAGCATAAGAAGGAAGGCATTCTAGTACCAATTACAATAATTATAGTACAGATGAAGTCCACTTTAAAACTCCATGAAGGAAGCCATAGCGAAAGTGGCCCCGAAAGATAGCTTGAATGCGACGTTATCTTGTACAGCAGAGCGAAGATCTAAGCTCGTAAAGTACCTTTGCAATCTATTGTATGGTATCACGTTGATGCCATAGCTAGATGCCCACTGCTTTGTATTAGGGTTCCATCCCAGCCCCTTTCCAAAGCTTGAAGGGACGACTTACCTGTACGCCAACTACCAGCAAGCCCAGTATCAGAGCCAGCGACTTGGAGAATGTACTGACCAGCAAGCCTGTACACAATCCTATGGCGCGGTTTAGCAGCTGCCTTTCTTTGTATAGCATCAAGAGCATTCGATTCGTACCAATAATGGAGCCTGAACTAATCTGTCGTACAGCGCGCGGGTTCAAGCTTCCGGCGCGGCTCAGCACGGGTGTTTGTGCATCTCTCTTGTAGGAGTCGGAAGAGAATGGGCTTGAATCAAGACGTATGGGTCGCTGGTGAAAGGCGTGGTAAGATGCGAGAGAGAGTCCTAGGCCCAGACCTAGGGTTTGAGGACGCATCAAGGGGCGGAGGAGAAGAGAAGCCATGTTGTTTGTTGGGGGGTGGTTGATGAGGAGGGTGGGTTATGAAGATATAATGAGGAGGAGGATGGTTGCCAGGCAGTATAGTACAGTACAGGTGTAGAGTTGTGTTGTTTTTGATCCCCTGGCGATCCGTTGATTCATGACGTAGAAATCGACAGGGATCTAGACCCCTGCCCCGGATTTCGTTTCGCTGTGAAAGAAGGGCTCGGAGGGGTAGCGTAGCGTACCTTAGGTATTGGCGAGATCGGAGGATATACCTACGAGCTGCCTCTACCTCTATATATTTATTATTATATTATATTACATTTATTGCATTGCATTACCAGACCATCATACCAGTTGAAAAGGAGCATTGTATGATTATAATGTATCATACCATATATTATTGGGATATTAAATTGTCAAATGTTTACTACAGTTAAATCTGCCTGCAGGACTTACTAATTAGGTACATAAGGTACCTCGTGCTCGTGCAATATCGGCATTAGACCTGGAATCCTTCCGATACTATACGATATCGATAAGCTGCGGGTATCGGCGGGGCCCCTCAATTATTTTGTTCACCTTCTTAGCCCATTTTCGAAGACTCATCTCATTTGGTCTTACTTCTCATTTGCTTCAATTGACTCATTCCTTCTTGCATCTTTATTTCCCATTTTCATTTCGCTCCCATTTATTCATTTTCAGACAATACTACATCTACCTTTCTTGACTTCAGACCGAGAACAAATGATCAACGATCACTCCAACAGCAGAATGGCCACCGAACTTCCTACTCGCACCACAAATGGTGATGCCACCTCCCAAAATGCTTCTGGCGAGTCCAACTTCACCGTCAAGACCGGATTGGCACGCATGCTCAAGGGAGGAGTCATTATGGACGTTGTGAACGCTGAGCAGGTATGTACCCAGTTACCAGTTGCCCCTCCATCCCCACCCCAGCAGGAGTAAATGCTAACTCCCGCCACCAAAGGCCAAAATAGCAGAAGAGGCCGGTGCCGTTGCAGTCATGGCTCTTGAGCGTGTGCCCGCCGATATTAGGGCTCAAGGAGGAGTGGCACGCATGTCAGATCCTAAGATGATCAAGGAAATTATGGCTGCCGTGACCATCCCGGTGATGGCCAAGGCGAGAATTGGCCACTTTGTTGAATGCCAGGTACTTCCACCAGCTTTCTTCCTCACACAAGATCTAGTGCTGACAGGGCCAATGGCATAGATCCTAGAGGCTATTGGTGTAGACTATATTGACGAATCCGAAGTCCTCACCCCCGCCGACCATGCTCACCACGTCGAGAAGCACCCCTACAGCGTTCCCTTCGTCTGTGGCTGCCGCAACCTGGGTGAGGCCCTGCGCCGTATCAGCGAAGGAGCTGCCATGATCCGCACAAAGGGTGAGGCAGGAACCGGAGATGTCGTCGAGGCAGTTCGCCACATGCGTACCGTTACCGCCGAGATCTCCCGTGCCCAGAATATGTCGGATGCTGAGTTGCGTATCTTGGCCAAGGATATCCAAGCTCCATTCGATTTGCTCAAGGAGACGGCCAAGTTAGGAAGATTACCGGTCGTGAACTTTGCTGCTGGAGGCATTGCTACGCCTGCAGATGCGGCCTTGATGATGCAGTTGGGTTGTGACGGTGTTTTCGTCGGCAGTGGAATCTTCAAGAGTGGTGATGCTTCAAAGAGGGCAAAGGCTATTGTACAAGCTGTTACGCATTATAACGACCCGAAAGTGTTGGCTGCTGTCAGTGAGGATTTGGGAGAGGCAATGGTGGGCTTGAATGTTAGTTCAATGGAGGCCAAGGATAAAATGCAAGGCCGTGGATGGTAAAGCCCCTTGCATAGAGAAGCGCTGTATTAAAAGTTTGCATTTGGTTTACAGGATTATTAGAGGCAATTGGTAATTTGGAAAATGTATTCCTGCCGGATGTCTCATCATCTGCTAGCTACCCTACCCATGGATGACCAAACAATTCAAGCGAAAACTTTTGGTATTTCCCAAGCTCAAAACGCCATTAGATACAGTAGAAATCAGCATATGAAAAACTCAAATGTTCCACGAGTGATCAATTAGATGTGCTTCGTCGTACTGCGGACCAGAGTTTCAAGCCGACTCAGTGCCTCATCCTCAATGAAGAACTCTGGACGATATCGCTTTTGACGTTGAACCCGTGCCTTGATACAGCAACCATCCACGTGGGGTGGAATATAGTCGTGCCCGTCTATTAATGCGGCATATCTCTAATCCCAGGATGCAAGATTTGCCAAGATGCAACCCTCTGTGGATCGAGGGACAAGACTTCCGATCCTATACACCTTCTCGCCTGCAGCCTCTAATTCCTCTGCAACTTGGGCGACGTTCTCCTTGCTGACGACAGCAACCATGCCTACGCCAGTGTTGAAAGTCCGGGCCATTTCCGCAGCAGCAACATTACCTGCCTGCTTCAGCCACTTGAATACTGGAGGTAATTGCCAGGCTGTGACATCGATTTCTGCTGCAAGATGCTCGGGCAGCATCCGTGGGACATTCTCTGTCAATCCACCGCCAGTGATGTGAGATAAGCCTTTGACAAGGTGTTTGTTTGTGACTTGAAGTAAGGAACGAACATATATCCTCGTAGGGGTCAATAGACTCAACCCAACGCTTGTGGAATTGTCCCATGGTGCAGGGTCGGTGTATTGAATGTTTTCCCTTTGAACGATTTTGCGGACGAGGGAAAACCCGTTAGAATGTACGCCATTTGAGGCCAAACCCAGGAGGACATCGCCCTCGACCATGGTGTCTGTCTTTGGTAGCCTGTGTTCCTTGTACATGGCGCCGTTGGCACAGCCTGAATGATGTTAATACTGATGTCCCTGGAGGTATGGATCATGTTGGGAATATTTCAAATCAACTCACCTGCAGCATCATAGTCCTCCTTTTGGTACATGCCCGGCATCTCGGCCGTCTCGCCACCAACAAGGGCACAGTTGGCCTGAATACAACCTGCGCTTACTCCTTCCACAAAGGATGCCGCTGTCTCGAGCACCAATTTACTGCAGCCATAATAATCGGTAAAGTAAAGGGCTTCAGCGCCTTGAACAACCAAATCATTAACGTTCATTGCCACTAAATCTATTCCTACGGTATCGTGCTTGTTCATTATTTGAGCTAGACAAACAGTAAGCAGTCTTCTTGAAATTGTATGGAAATCGCCGAACTATTTTAATAGCTTGTATCCCAGAACTCCTGGGACACACTTGAAAAATGTATCGGGTATGAACCGGGTCGAAGCCTGGGAATCAGGTCCGCATGCCTCATAAAGAGGGACACGGGTGTAAAATGTCTCAGAGGTTCCAGCATTCAAGGAGGAACTCACCAATAGCCAGTTTTGTGCCTACGCCATCAATGGCAGAAACAAGTATAGGGGCCTTGGTATAGTTTGCTGCCTCTAGGTCGAATTCTCCACCAAACCCGCCGATAATCGCATCGGCACCGGGCCTTCTGGTCGCAGCAACGGCTGCCTTGATACGTGACACGAATTGGTTGCCAGCATCAATACTAACACCAGCTGAAGCGTATGTGAGAGCGGCAGGTTTCAGCGCTCGGTGTGCAATATCCTTTCGGTAGTACATTTTGTCGAAACTAATACACTTAACTCCTTCGTATGCCTTCTTGACTGCTTGCTCCAGATTTTCTGCGGTCGCTTGGCTGGCTATAACTCGGCCACCAGATGTTTGGAGCTGGCCATCTTTTATGATTGTCCCAGCATGGAAGATGTTTGTATCCGCGGGTGGGGTGCCAACCTGCATCGGCGTCCCCTTTTCGTAGGAATCGGGATATCCACCTGCTGCTACTACAACTGTTGTGCTGGCCTTTGAATCAATCTTTATGGACAACCCATCAAGCCGACTGTCTGTGCATGCAACCATGATCTCTGCCAGGTCGGTATCTTTACTCATCAGTGGTAGTAAAGTCTGGGTCTCGGGATCCCCAAATCTAACATTGTATTCAAGAGTTTTGGGTCCACTCCTTGTAATCATCAAGCCAGTGAAAAGGGTTCCGATGAAGGGGAATCCGTCCTTTTTCATACCATCAAGTGTGGGCTGAAGAATGGTCCTCTCGATTTCCTCAATCAGTTCCTTGGTTGCAATTAATGTTGGGGCATAACATCCCATACCACCAGTATTTGGGCCTTTGTCGCCATCGTGTATTCTCTTGTGGTCCTGTGCTGGCGGGAGTGATTGCATTGTACGGCCATCGCAGAAACTCAAGATACTGAGTTCGTCTCCTTCTAGGAATTGCTCAATTACTACATTCTTCCCAGCTGAACCAAATGCCTCTTCGACCATGATCGTTTTCAGATTTTCCTGCGCTTCTTCTTTGCCTTTGGGAATGAGAACTCCCTTGCCACCCGCCAAGCCATCGGCCTTGAGCACAACGTCGTAATCAACAGAGTCAATATATTTCCGGGCTTCATCGTAGTTGTCGAAGTTCGCGTATGCAGCGGTAGGGATGTTGTGCTTCTTCATGAAGTCCTTCGAAAAAGCCTTGCTTCCCTCAAGGCGCGAGGCGGACTCGGATGGGCCATAGCACCGGATATTGGCAGCTCGAAAATAGCCCTCAATTCCCTTGACCAAAGGAGCTTCGGGGCCAGGAACAACAAGATTTATTTTCTCTCTCTGAGATAAGGCAACGAGAGCAGGGAAATCCTCGGCGTCGACAGTTGTGTTGTTGGTGGTTTTAAGGCACGTCGCCGTACCTCCATTGCCAGGGACAGCGATAATTGCTTCCACAAGGGGAGATTGACTTAGTTTCCACGCGAGGGCATGTTCGCGGCCTCCGTTGCCAACGAGGAGGATTCGAAGAGGCTCCATGGACGTGGGTAGGACTTATTGTTATGCTTGTTGTTGTTGATATTTTAATGTACCTCTTGGGAAGATTGTACTGACAGGGGCCTTGACGCGTATACGAACGAGTAGGTAGAGAAGTATAGAAGAAATTTTATGGGGTGGGGTGAATGGGTTTTTGGAGGGGTGCGGCCGCCCTCGGAGCGATGTAATGCGGACAGTTAACTTTTTTTCAATGCCCTGGGTACAAGTAGAGGGTGGGAGTGAGTCCTTCATACTGCAATGACCCCTTAGTATCCCCATGTCCAATGGTGAATCAAAGTCTGCAAAGCACAAAATCAGCTTCTCCAGGGAAACTTGGAGGAATATTCGTAGATACAAAACAAAGCAACATGCCCAGGTGAGGTAGGCTACGGGCAATTAATAAACGGACCTAGATCCGGGGTATTGAAAATCACCCAGATACGCTAGTGGTGGGGTGAGAATAAAATATTACAAACAACCCAGTCAGCCCTCATCACACACACCACACCACACTGGGGTATTGATTTTCACTCGCCATGATAACTATAAGTCAGTATCAACTCAACTTCCCAACTCTCTTTTTCATTCACCACGCCCCAATTAATTGACTGACTCTGGGACTTCCTACTGACAATCCCGCCATCCATGCAGAAGTACCATGTTCATCTGCGAATATTGGCCCGGGCTTCGATGTCATTGGTCTTGCCTTGTCAATCTGGCTTGAACTTCGGGTCGAGATTGAATCTAAAGCCTCCGATGTACCTCTCAATTGCGTGATCACGTATGAGGGCGAAGGTGCCGACGAGGTCCCATTGGTAGCTGATTCCAATCTGATCACGAGAACGGCCCTGTACGTCTTGAGGTGCCACGGCCAAAGAGCCTTTCCAGCCGAGACCAGAGTTCATATCATCAATCCTATTCCTCTGGGGCGTGGTCTGGGTTCTTCTGGAGCTGCTGTGGTAGCAGGCGTGGTGCTTGGGAACGAGGTTGGCAAACTTGGCTTAACCAAAGCTCGAATGCTGGACTACTGTCTAATGATAGGTTTGTTCCACAGCCCTATTGACCATTTCTATTTTTCTAAACCATTCTGCAGAGCGACACCCGGATAACGTTGCAGCTGCGTTGTATGGGGGGTTTGTTGGAACCTATTTAAATGATCTGAGCAAAGCAGATTCAGAGAGGAAAGAGATTCCACTTAGTGAAGTGCTCCCAGAGCCAGCAGGTGGTGTGGACACAGGGAAAGCTCCACCGGAGCCGCCGATCGGAATCGGTCACTATATGAAGTTCCCATGGGCAAAGGAGATCAAAGCTATTGCTATCATTCCTCACTTTGAAGTAGCTACAGCCGAAGCGAGGGGGGTACTACCAAAGTTATACTCCAGAGCAGACGTGGTCTTCAATCTCCAGAGAATAGCCCTCCTCCCATCTGCACTCGGTAGATCACCACCAGATGCTGAGCAGATATATCTGGCGATGCAAGACAAGGTTCACCAACCATATCGAAGCGGCCTTATACCAGGTTTGCCAGAGATCCTGCAGTCAGTGACTCCGAAATCTCACCCAGGTCTGTGCGGTATTTGTCTTTCCGGGGCTGGTCCAACGATACTTGCTCTAGCAACAGAGAATTTTGATGGGATTGCCAAAGTTATATTAGAAATGTTTGCAAAAAAAGACATCAAGTGTGAATGGAAGCTGCTAGAGCCGGCAGAAGCTGGAATGACGGTCACATATAGCTGAGCGTAAGAGGGCAATAGACGATGATTTCACATATACCACGTACTGGCGGAAACATAGCGTCGATATATACCCGCAATTTCGCTACAAGAAGCTCTGTTTTGCAACCCACCCAATGCACATAAGGCCAAAGCCCATTTCATAATACCTGAATGACCGCCCCGGAACGCCACCCCCTTGACAAAATACTCTCACAATGCAAACGAAACAGATGCTGGCTACCCACAACAAGATTTTAGCCCAGCCCACCCCAAGCTCCCCGAATTCTTCGCGCAAGTTGTATGTCTTTTTGCATAATAGTGACTCTCTTAGCATGGATGGCACACAGATTTGTGTCTTCGAATAGATGTACCAGGAATGCCTCTGATGCCTCTTGAAGTGCTTGGATTGCCTGTGATTGCCAACGCATACCCTCTCCTGACGGACGTAAATTGAGAGCAATTTCACGAACCTATACGCGCCATTAGCTCCTGGTAACGTATCATCGCATCTCAAAGCGTTGCCTACCAAACGCGAGAAAGGCAATTTTCTCATAAGAAGTTCTGTCGACGATTGATATCTCCTGATCTCCTTCAGCGCAAGCGTTCCAGGTCTGTAGCGGCGCTTCTTCCTCCCTGGAAAAGGATCTCCGGCTATTTCAGTCGCAGAATCAGTACAAACATTAACAACGGAAGGGAACTTGCTGAACTCACGCTCTACACCACGGCTGACTCTCCTAGCAGTTTTGCCAGTGGGTTGACTGGCGCGACCTTTTGCAGGACTCGGTTTCGTCTTCGCTCTGACCGTCGCTTTCTTTGGAGGCATGGTGCAAAGCGGATATGCGAGTCGCGAATCCCAAGTAATAGCCAGATATATGCGACTAAACTCTAGGTGGCTGATGCGACGAGTTCTCGATCAATTGTCTGGAGATTTGGGAGGTTGGGGAACGGCGCGTGGATTGCAAGTCGCGACTTGCGCCGGATGAGGGAACTGGGGTGGTGCTTCAGAATCCTCACCCAAAATATGGCCTAAGGAGCTGTAGCTGTAGGTTCAATCGGTGGCCAGATTTGTATCGCGACAAGATGCGCATTCAACGATTCAGTCCTCTTGCGCTTGATTGAGAATCCAGATTGTTGTGTTGACGCGAATGGTTGGGAGAGCGACGGAGAGAAAGCTCCTGTGCAGCGGCGGCAGGGGGGTAGTAGGTGTGGCGTAAGCACATCTTATCGCCGAAAGGATTATCTGAGGACACCACACCACAAAGAGATTCATCCATCTTCCCTGCCATACGATAGATACAACATACCGCTGCATACCAGACCAGACCAGACCATAGAGGCCAGTAACCTTCTTCGCAATACCGTCACAGCCAGCCTACTCCTAATTGACTTATCCCACGCCGGATTTCCACCTATCTACAATCCATCATGGATATGAATATGGGTGGAATAGACGGTGCTATGGGCCAGGCTGGCTTTCCGCTGGAGACCTGGTTCTGGGAGATGCCCCTTTGTACAAGATGGTGGACCACAGCAACTGTGCTCACGAGCGCCTTGGTGCAGTGTCAAATTGTTACTCCTTTCCAGTTATTCTACAGCTTCCGAGCTGTCTTCTTCAAGAATCAGGTACGCTTCTCCCCTCCCCTCCTATCCAACCAAACAACCAACCTTCAACATCCACCACCTACCAAATCAATACTAATTCGACGCTGCAGTACTGGCGACTCCTCACCACATTCGTCTACTTTGGTCCCTTATCACTCGACCTCGTGTTCCACGTCTTCTTCCTCCAAAGATATTCACGGCTACTCGAGGAGGCGTCCGGCCGATCCCCAGCGCATTTCTCCTGGTTGTTGCTATATGCTTGTACTTGTTTGATATGTCTCTCCCCGCTGGTTTCTATGCCGTTCCTGGGACATCCACTTTCCTCTACCCTCGTCTACATCTGGTCGAGGCGTAATCCAGACACTCGTCTGAGTCTGATGGGGCTGCTGGTGTTTACTGCCCCTTACCTCCCGTGGGTGCTGATGGGCTTCAGTCTGGTGGTTCACGGCACAATTCCCAAGGATGAGATTATGGGTGTGGTTATTGGACATGTCTATTATTTCTTCTCGGACGTCTACCCTCCACTGCATAATGGCTCTCGTCCTTTCGATCCACCCATGTGGTGGCGGCGGATTTTTGAAGGCAGACCACAACAGGAGACTGCAGATGCTATCAACAATGAAATTGCGGTTGCGGCGGCGCCCGTCCCTGAGGTACGATAGTTATGAGAGTGACGAGCGGTTTTGACATACATGACATACATAAAGTGTTTTGATTGGCGCAACAGGGAATTCAGCTATGGTTATCTTGAAAAGGGATCGCATCGAATGGTAGGGGGCGTTAAATGATACCACTTTCGTTCAATCTTGCTTCCGCTCTTCTTGGTTTATGAGACTGTCTCTTCGTCCAGCATCCTCACTCCCTTCGTCCTTCTCGTCGTTGAGTTGGGCATCGGGTGCTACGGGGAAATGCAAATGCTTCCAATCTTCTAGCTCTTCAATGATCGATCTGAGACGATCCCGGATACTCTCAATGGCATAGCTCCCAAGCAATAATCGTAGTGGTGGGTATGAACAATGTCCTAGTTGCCAGACCAGCTCAGCGCACTTCACCGCACTCGTAGGCTGCTTGTCCCCCAGCCATTGGACCATTCTCTTTGCGTGCAGAGCTGGGGAGGTAGCTTGCGAATATGGCTCACTCGCTGGCTTGATCAAAAAATGTCCCCAAGTCGGGAGTGGACTCTTAGCCCAATCCGGCTCGTCTCTTCGAACCAGCCCAGGCTCGACAAGAGTAGCCTTGATGTTGAATGAGTCGATTTCATAGAGCATTGCTTCGATGAGTCCCTCCACGGCATACTTCGTAGCACAATACGGCCCCAGGCCTGGTACGCCTAAAGCTCCAGATGTAGAACTGAAGATAAGATATCGACCTGCTCCCTGCTCTCTGAAATATGGTAGACTCAACTGAATAATATGTAATGTGCCCATAAAGTTTGTTTCGAATTGATTCCGAATTTCATGTTCATCCTGGTCCTCGCATGCTCCAATGACTCCATAACCCGAGCAATTGGCAATCACATCAACGTGACCGAAATGCTGAATCGCCCTTTCAAGGACTTCTTGGACCGACTCGCGTGCTCGGACGTCACAGAGGGTGCCGAGACAGTTCTCATGCCAGCCTTGCATGGACTCGAGGGTATTCTCAAAGGTGCGTCCCACGGCTACAACGAGATCTCCTTGGTTGAGGCAAGATCGGGCTAGGCTGCGGCCCATGTGACCTGTACTTCCAAAGATCTAGATGACATGTAAGTATTCGTATAGACGACCGTACACTTGCCGTCTCTTGATGCTCCAGGACATCCTCTCCCCTCCTCTTAACACACTGGAATATATCTGGCAGGAGCAGGAGAAGCACTTACAATCCACACGAGCTGCTTTGAGGGGTTAGAGGGACCAGGAGGATCACAGCTCAATGGCAGTTGCAGCCTGGTCTTACTATTGTCCGGTGACATAGCTGCCTCGTTATGATCAGAACTGAAATTAAAATCCCCCCCATCGTGGAAGTCCATCACGCTTATCTTTCTAGTGAAGGTTGAGGCGTAGAAGAATAGATTTGATTTGTAGTTATAAATTCTGCGGGGTTGGCGGCAGATACTAGAGCTAAGGTAGGTACTATTTTATATCAAGCTTGTTTTCAAGCTCGCCTACTCTTTTCCTTAAGTATACCTCCGTGGTAAATTAAGCGACGGGGGCTTTTTTTAGCGGTCGCTGACTCGCTCTCGCTGTAGGCCGGAGGGAAAAAAGATTGCTATGGATATTACATTTACTACCTATCTATCTATGCTTTATACCAATAAGTGGACCTTCGCCTGATAATTAGTTACTCCTGTTAGCTTTTCTAAAGCTGATTTTCGAGCTGGAACCTTTTTCTGAGTAAAAGACCCTTCGGCAGAGACTCCACGTGATATCGACTCGACGGCAACAACACGTCTCGTCTTCCTCCTTTCGTCAGCGTCGGATTGTTAGGGATTAGGCTACATTTAAGATATTCTAGATAAGGGTCATCTTGCCGTCAGTTCTCGATCGATTCAAACTTGGCTTCAGCTCGGTATCGACTGCCAACCCTCTGATAACCATCCCTGGCTTTGTATTTGACCCCTGGAATTCGACCGCGACATCTCAGTGATGCGACCATGGACAGTTGTTCAACATGCCGTTTCCGGAAGGTGAGGGTGATACACTGTAGATACAGTTCTCAGCTGATGATCCAGGTAAAATGTGATGGCCGCCCAGGAATATGCATGCGTTGCGAAAAGTTGAACATCGAATGCCAATGGCGGAGTAAGCCCATCCACTACAACCATATCACTTGCTAACGTACATAGATTCTACTCATGGGACCTCTAATGTCCACAGTAAAAATAATACACAGAGAAGTAGCGTCGTTACCCAAGCCGGCCATAAGCGTTTACGCATCTCTATAGCATATCAGACGTGTAGAAGGAAGAAGCTTAAGTGTATTGCAGGCCGTCCTCCATATTCAGCGCGCTTGCGGCATAGATGCAGCTGTGTTTATGATATACCCTCACCTTCTTCCGGCATACCTATGGGTTCGGAGGATCCAAGCAGTGCAACACTACATAGTGCACCATCTGGCCACGGAAAACATGAAATCACCGGACTACCAGATGGAAGCATCCCCAGTAGACACCATTTAGTATTTGATATAGCAAATGACTCACTACCGCCTTCAAATTTTGCTATGGAACCAAGTCGTCCCTCACCTACTACTAAGAAGCTGACTCTCCCGACTAGCCTTTCTTGCAACCTTATCTTAACTCATATCTTAGTAATGTTCATCCCATTTGCTTCCAAAATATCTTTAATCCTGGTGTATTTTTGGAAGGGCTTGATAAAGCCTAAATTGCTTCTCTTAGCAATTTGCAGGGTGTCAGCCAGATTTCTTGATGGTTCGGAGGAAACGAAAAAGGGTCGGCGATGGATCGCCGAAACAAAGAATTTGGTCATGAAAGATTCGAATGCCATTTTAATACTAACTCTTGTCGTGTTTCAGACTATTGCTTTATATGATGTCCATGAAGCTGATTTGCTCTCCGCGTGGAATCTGATAGGTAAGTTTGAATATTGCCTCTCATCGCATGCGGAGCTTTAGATGCCGGAACAGCTAGCCTATACTTCTAGGTATCTCTACACGCATAGCGCGTCAATTAAAGTTGAGTCGTCAATCACTCGACACTGGTTCGGCATCATTCCTTGAGCAGGAGTGTACTCGACGTCTTATGTGGTCTATCTTTATTAATGATATACTCCTCGCCTCTGATAAAATAGAGATCAGTGATAAGAATTTGGCGAACGTAGGCTTGTTGTGCAACCTATGGAATTTTACACAAGGCACGCCATGCACCACTCTACGTCTATATACTATAGTACTAGATAGTAATAAGTTAGGCCTAAGCTGGATTTTAAGCGATAAACTTTATAAATCATCATATCTAATTCAACCGTCCAAATCAAACAATCGCGCTAGCATATTAACCGTCTTAATCTCAGCTTTCTTTTAAGCCTACCCTTATAGTTCTTACTAGGAAAATAAGTAAATGCAGGTTATCTAAAGGGTTTTCCACCCTAAAGGCTTCCTAACTGCCTCCTCCTCCCTCCTCCCCCTCTGCCCTCCCACCTCTATAGTCTATAGCGGCAGAAGATAATAATATAGTAATAG